GGGAAGCCAGGAGAGAGGCTGTCCCCTGCACCAACTGTGGCCGCCGAGGACACACGGCGGTTCGGTGCTGGGGAGGGTCTCCTCGGATTCGAGGCAGCAGGCAATGCACTGATGAGTCATTCCAGGTGAGTAAGGCCCCAACTCACCCAGAGCTCTCTGTTGTTCATATGTGTATTCAAGTTGTGTTTCCAGAGGTTTCTTCTTACTCCCAGCATAAGGCGCTAGTCGATTCAGGCGCAGCTGGGAATTTTATCGATCGCCATTTCTCATATAAGTTAGGAATCCCTATATTACCAGTCGATATGCCCTTCCCTATCCATGCCCTAGATAGCCGGCCTTTGGGGTCGGGATTGATTAGGGAGGTCACAGCGCACCACTGAAGATGAAAACGCAGAAGGGTCATGAGGAGACTATACAGTTGTATTTAATTGACTCTCCTGCGTTTCCTGTGGTGTTGGGGCTTCCCTGGTTAACATCTCATGACCCCAACATTTCATGGAAACAGAGGGCTCTCAAGGGATGGTCTGATCAGTGTGTGGGGCGGTGTGTAGGTGTTTCCGTAGGGGCAACGACGGTGGAAAGTCCGAACCAAATGCCCACAATGCACATTCCTCCTGAGTATGCCGATTTGGCACGTGCCTTCTGTAAGAAGAAGGCGACTCAATTACCACCTCATCGACAGGGGGATTGTGCGATAGACCTCCAGGTTGGCGCTGCGCTCCCTCGTAGCCGTGTGTATCCTCTGTCTCAGGAGGAGACGGCTGCTATGGAGACATACGTCGCCGAATCCTTGAGACAGGGTTACATACGGCCATCCACTTCCCCTGCGTCCTCGAGTTTCTTTTTTGTGAAGAAGAAGGATGGGGGTTTATGCCCGTGTATTGATTACCATGGTCTCAATCAGATCACTATTAAATACAGCTATCCTCTCCCTCTGATTGCTAGTATGACAGAGTTATTACACGGGGCGTGCTTCTTCACAAAATTGGATCTCAGGAGCGCTTACAACCTGGTGCGCATTCGGGAAGGAGATGAGTGGAAGACAGCATTCAGTACCACCTCGGGTCACTATGAGTACCTCGTCATGCCATACGGTCTAATGAATGCTCCGTCAGTCTTCCAATGATTTGTGGACGAGATTTTCCGGGATTTGCATGGACAGGGGGTAGTGGTGTATATTGATGACATTCTGATATACTCCGCTACACGTACCGAGCATGTGTCCCTGGTACGTCGGGTGCTGAGTAGACTGTTGGAGCATGACCTGTATGTGAAGGCAGAGAAATGTCTGTTTTTCCAGGAGTCCATCTCCTTCCTGGGACACCGGTTGTCTGCGTCAGGGGTGGAGATGGAGATTGACCGCGTTTCAGCTGTGCGTAATTGGCAGACTCCCACTACGGTAAAGGAGGTGCAGCGTTTTTTTGGTTTTGCCAATTACTACCGGAGGTTTATCCGGGGTTTTGGACAGGTAGCGGCTCCCATTACCTCCCTGCTAAAGGGGGGCCCGGTGCGTTTGCAGTGGTCGGCTGAGGCGGACAGGGCGTTTAGTCATTTGAAGGACCTGTTCACCTCGGCTCCGGTGCTGGCACATCCGGATCTCTCTTTGGCGTTCCAAGTTGAGGTGGATGCGTCCGAGGCGGGGATCGGTGCTATACTGTCTCAGCGCTCGGGCACGCCTCCAAAACTCAGCCCCTGTGCTTTCTATTCCAAGAAGCTCAGTCCAGCGGAATGCAATTATGACGTGGGGGACAGGGAGCTGCTAGCGGTGGTCCACGCCCTAAAGGTGTGGAGACATTGGCTTGAGGGGGCTAACCACCCTTTTCTAATTCTGACTGACCATCGTAACCTGGAGTACATCCGGATCCCTCTTTGGCGTTCCAAGTTGAGGTGGATGCGTCCGAGGCGGGGATCGGTGCTATACTGTCTCAGCACTCGGGCACGCCTCCAAAACTCAGCCCCTGTGCTTTCTATTCCAAGAAGCTCAGTCCGGCGGAACGCAATTATGACGTGGGGGACAGGGAGCTGCTAGCGGTGGGCCACGCCCTGAAGGTGTGGAGACATTGGCTTGAGGGGGCTAACCACCCTTTTCTCATTCTGACTGACCATCGTAACCTGGAGTACATCCGGGCAGCGAAGAGACTGAACCCTCGTCAGGCTAGGTGGGCCATGTTTCTTGCCCGGTTTGTATTTAAGATCACCTATATCCCAGGGTCACAGAACGTTAAGGCAGACGCCCTGTCCCGACGATATGACACAGAGGAGAGGTCCATTGAGCCCACTCCCATACTACCGGAGTCTTGTCTAGTGGCACCGGTGGTGTGGGATGTCGACACGGAAATCGAGCGGGCGTTACGTACCGACCCTACTCCCCCAGATTGTCCAGAGGGACGGAGGTACGTGCCGCTCGAGGTCCGTGACCGACTGATTTATTGGGCTCACACGTCACCCTCCTCTGGTCATCCTGGTATTGGTCGGACGGTGCACTGTCTTAGCGGGAAGTACTGGTGGCCCACCTTAGCCAGGGACGTGAGGGTTTACGTTTCTTCCTGCTCGGTGTGCGCCCAGTGTAAGGCGCCTAGACACCTGCCCAGAGGGAAGTTTCAACCTCTACCCGTTCCACAACGGCCGTGGTCTCACCTGTCGGTGGATTTTGTCACGGACCTTCCCCCCTCCCAGGGGAATATCACGATCTTGGTCATTGTGGATCGGTTTTCCAAGGCCTGCCGTCTCATCCCTATGCCAGGTCTTCCTACAGTCCTACAAACGGCTGAAGCCCTGTTTACTCACGTTTTCCGGCACTACGGGGTGCCTGAGGATATAGTGTCTGATCGGGGTCCCCAGTTCACCTCTAGAGTGTGGAGGGTGTTTATGGAACGTTTGGGGGTCTCGATCAGCCTTACCTCGGGTTTTCACCCTGAGAGTAATGGGCAGGTGGAGAGAGTAAACCAAGATGTGGGTAGGTTTCTGAGGTCCTATTGCCAGGACCGGCAGGAGGAGTGGTCGGGGTATATTCCCTGGGCAGAGATAGCCCAAAACTCATTCCGCCACTCCTCCATTAATCTTACGCCTTTCCAGTGTGTGTTGGGCCGGTTCTGGCACCCTGGCATCAGAGCCAGATCGAGGCTCCTGTGGTGGATGAATGGTTTCGGCGCTCGGAGGAGACATGGAACGCTGCGCATGTCCATCTGCAGCGGGCCATCAGACGGCAAAAGGTGAGCGCCGATCGCCACCGCAGTGAGGGTCCGGTTTATGCACCTGGAGATCGGGTCTGGCTCTCGACCAGAAACCTGCCCCTTCACCTGCCCTGCCGGAAGCTGGGTCGGCGGTTTGTGGGGCCATTTAAAGTCCTGAGGAGATTGAACGAGGTATGTTATAGGTTAAAACTGCCTATTAATTATCGCATTAACCCCTCGTTCCATGTGTCTCTCTTCAGGCCGGTGGTAGCTGGTCCACTCCAGGAGAATGAGGTACGAGAGGCCCCTCCGCCCCCACTAGACATCGAAGGGGCTCCGGCATACTCAGTCCGTTCCATCGTGGATTCGAGGCGTCGGATGGGGGGTCTGCAGTATCTCGTGGAGTGGGAGGGGTACAGTCCGGAGGAACGGTGCTGGGAACGGTGCTGGGTCCCTAGGAGGGACATCCTAGATCCCTCCCTGTTGACAGAGTTCCACCGGAGTCATCGGAGTACTAGCTGCTGCCGATCGATGTTATCGGTGTCTGTCTAGTTTTGTCTGTATTGTTTACACCTGTTCCACATTATGTTTGATTGTTGCCCTATAATTACCCCTGTCTCTCATCGGGATCTTGTGTGTGATTGTTTCCCTTCACGTATGTCGTTTGTGAGCGGGTTATTTCCTCCCTGTGTGGAGTTATTCTGTGTTCATCTTTTCAGTATCGGTTTAAAGTACGTTTCCGAGAGTTCCGTGTCCTGCGCCTGATTTCTTCAACCGCATCTCACTGACAGCCGTGACACACTGTCTCGACACTAACTCTGGGACACTGAGCCAACACAACACTAAAATAATAATCAGCAAACAGCGGGTGCAGCTAGACAATATCAAACAATCTACAAATGCCAGGCACCCAAGGAGGGACTCCCCAATGTACTATTCCCGATACACTACTTTTGACCAGAAGCCTATGGGCCCTGGTCAAAAGAAGTGCACTATACTGTATATGGAATAGGGTGCCATTTGTCTATTTTCTCATTCTGCTCTACCCTCCTTTTATTCATTACTACGAGGTAGCTTGGTTTCAGGGCGAATGCCCAGAATATTTATGAAAATCCTCCTTGGCAACATTTGTTTTGGAAGACAGATCTTCAGCTGAGACATCATAATTAGAGTTAATTAACGTCAATTAACTAACATTTCACTTTCCTAAACCCTAACTAAATGTATATTCTGTAGGCTAGCCTTTGATAATAGAAATGATGGCCTTTGATAATAGAAATGATGAGCATGAAGGTGGTAAAAATGACAAATGCTCACATCCTAATTAATAGCTACCTGTTAATTAGCTAGCCCTCGTCAACTTATTATGCACTTTCACTGAGAAACTAAAGAAGCAATGAAGCGATATATCGTCATATGAATAAGATGTTTAATTTGAATGGGGCACAAAATGATCCTGAATTACTTTTGTCTCTTTGTTATGTAAATTAGTTACTATTCCCAACTCCCTCATCATTGACAACAGAATGAGCTAGTTCACATACAAGGGGTAGGGATCCGCCTAAATGATAATATTCCCTTTAGCATTAACAGTTTCTGAACTACATACACTATACCAGCACCCACATAGTAGAGTTAGGTTTCGTCATCCCTTAGTGTTATGAGCAGTGCGCTGGTCAAAAGTAGTGCACTATACAGGGAATAGGGTGCCATTTGGGACTCAAACATAGTTTCCCACCCCCCTCACCCTGTTCAGCAGTGTTAGAGACTGTGATCCATTTCAGGGAAACAGGGTAACCACTTCCATTGGCACCAGAGCCCAACGACGGGTCTTTCTGGATGCGGAGGAGCAGGACCTCCATCCATGGAGTGGACCCCGGCCAGGACGTGAGATATGATGTGGAAGATGATGAAGGGCTCCCCCTTCTCCTCACTGAACAAGGGCTGACACACACACACACAACCAACAAGTCTATTTAGTTCACAGAGACAGACATGTGTTTAGATCAATCCATGCACAGTGGGTATCTATAAGAACAAGATATACTGTTATTGACATAGTGTTAGTGAAGTGTTAGTAAAGCTTCATATAACAAGCTACATCTTATTGTGAATTTATACCATAAATAATGTCAAATACATTCTAAAGCTTTTATAAAGATATGCCATTTAGCAGACGCTTTTATCCAAAGCGACTTACAGTCGTGCGTGCATACATTTTTGTGTATGGGTGGTCCTGGGGATCGAACCCACTACCTTGGCGTTACAAGCGCCGTGCTCTACCAGCTGAGCTACAATCATGCTTTATAATGTTTCTTTAATGTTAATTCCCTCTCACTGGGTAGCCTATGTTATTAATGCTTTATGAAGATAGAGTTCATGTAAAGCTTTACACAAATGTCTAACTGGCTGGAAGGTCTAAGTTTATGATTAAGTAGATGTTGCTAATTTCTTTGCATATAATCCAGATCTCTTCATTTACTAACATGAAACACATCAAGCAGAGCCTTTGTGAAGAAGGTGGAGAACCTCCAAGCTCGGTGATGGACAGATAAGCTAAATGCTGAAAAGTATCCCATGTGTTTTATGCCAGGTTTTAACAACCTATTGTATTCAGACCTTCTGTGTTCAAACGCTTCAAAAATCTAAAAAATACTTTTTCTGTGCTTGATTGAGTTTGCATGGTGCAATGTAACCAACGGAATAGTGCAAACCCATCTGGCGTGTCAGGCAAGCTTGATCAAATGCTTAATGCATTTGAAAAACGTCAAATACTAGTTGAACCCAGGTCTGATTGTAGTAATCTGTAGTGATCACAACAACTGGTGGAAGAGCAGAGGCGTCGGAATAGACGCCTCATAATGCCAGCTTGTCTCTGATCCCGTGCAGCAATACTTGAACCTTGCTAAATTGGTTTGTTAGAGGATAGTGACTCATGGGGTTCTGCATAATCCTTCATTCAAAATTCTACTCTTGAACTCTAGGCTTAAGAGTCGATAAGCAAGCTCATCTACATGCTAAACCTGATCTTCAAAATGGTAAATAACAGGGACTCACAAGATAAAACACACCTGGATTAATATATTCCACCGAGGGTTTATAGGGTTTGTTCATGTGTTGGTTGTCGTTAGTGTGCGGGTTTGTTTCCTCCCTGCGTGGAGGTTTTGTTCATTCATTTACCTACGAATAAAGTACGCTTTTGATTAGCTCTGTGTCCTGCGCCTGACTTCGCCTACCGCATTACACTGACGCCTTGACATAACCAGGTAAGTCACATTGAGATTGACATCTCATTTTTATCTTTTTCAAGTCAGAATTAATTGCCTACCTGTATTAAATGGGATGTAAAAATATAATACCAGGAAAAAAAACTAAAAGAAAATGCCAGCAATGTTGTTGGTCAATATCTGAACATTGATTATGACAGAGAGTATATTGTATGGCTAAGTCTTCTTACCTCCCACTTCAGACTGGAGTTCTCCCTCATGCTGGTTCTGAGGAGGTAGAGTCTGCCCGCACCGTCGGAGAGGGCTGCCCAAGTGGCAGAGGTGAGGTTGAGAGAGACACAGAGACACTCCTCACACGCGCTGGGGTCAGAGGGCATGCGGAAGACCTCTCAGTGCCATGTCCTGTCAACACAATACATACACCTGTCAGTCTCCTGTTATCAATGGAGGATCACTAGGGACCCTCATCTCTGTTCTGAATTCTGTTTATTACTGAGCATACACCAGGGTTCCCCAACTAGCGGCCTGTTTTCTATTACCCTCTTTGCATCATTGCCCTCAGACAACAGAAAACCTTTTAACCCCTCACACCAGTCCATAGTATTTGTTTTTTTACAATATGTGATAATACACTACCAGTCAAAAGTTTGGACACACCTACTTATTCAAGGATTTTTCTTTATTTTTACATTGTAGAATAATAGTGAAGACATCAAAACTATGAAATAACACATATGGAATCATGTAGTAACCAAAAAAGTGTTAAACAAATCAAATTATATTATATATTTCAGATTCTTCAAATAGCCACCCTTTGCCTTGATGACAGCTATTCAGTCTCCCTGCTGAATAACATCCCCACAGCATGATGCTGCCACCACCATACTTCACCGTAGGGATGGTGGAGGAGGTGTTATGGTGTGGGGGTGCTTTGCTGGTGACACTGTCTGTGATTTATTTAGAATTCAAGTCCCACTTAACCAGCATGGCTACCACAGTATTCTGCAGCGATACGCCATCCCATCTGGTTTGGGCTTAGTGGGACTATCATTTGTTTTTCAACAGGACAATGACCCAACACACCTTGAGGCTGTGTAAGGGCTATTTTACCAAGAACGGGAGTGACGGAGTGCTGCATCAGATGACCTGGCCTCCACAATCCCCCAACCTCAACCCAATTGAGATGGTTTGAGATGAGTCGGACGGCAGAGTGAAGGAAAAGCAGCCAACAAGTGCTCAGCATATGTGGGAACTCCTTCAAGACTGTTGGAAAAACATTCCAGGTGAAGCTGGTTGAGAGAATGCTAAAAGTGTGCAAAGCTGTCATCAATTCAAAGGGTGGCTATTTGAAGAATCTCAAATATAAAATATATTTTGATTTGTTTAACACTTTTTTGGTTACTACATGATTTGGTTACTACATGATGTGTTATTTCATAGTTTTAATGTCTTCATAATTGTTCTACAATGTAAAAAATAGTAAAAATTAAGAAAATCCCTTGAACGAGTAGGTGTGTCCAAACTTTGGACTGGTACTGCATATTTCATACTGATATGTAACATGTAAAGTGTTGGTCCCATGTTTCATGAGCTGAAATCAAAGATCCCCAAAATGTTTCCATATGCACATAAAGCTTATTTCTCTCAAATGTTGTGCACAAATGTATTTACATCCCTGTTAGTGAGCATTTCTCCTTTGCCAAGATAATCCATCCACCTGACAGGTGTGGCATATCAAGAAGCTGATTAAACAGCATGATTATTACACAGGTGCATCTTGTGCTGGGGACAATAAAAGGCCACTCTAAAATGTAATTATGTTCCGACTGTTAAGCCTAGAGTTCAAGAGTAGAATTTGAAGGATTATTATCACACAACACAATGCCACAGATGTCTCAAGTTTTCAGGGAGCGTGCAATTGTCATGTTGACAGTAGGAATTTCCACCAGAGCTGTTGCCAGATAATATATTGGTCATTTGTCTACCTATGTCGTTTTAGAGAATTTGGCAGTACGTCCAACCGGCCTCACAACCGCAGACTACGTCTATGGCATCGTGTGTGCGAGCGGTTTGCTGATGTCAACATTGTGAACAGAGTGCCCCATGGTGGCGGTGGTATGGGCAGGCCTAAACTACGGACAACGAACATAATTGCATTATGTCGATGGCAATTTGAATGCACAAAAATACAGTAACAAGTTCGTGAGACCCATTGTGAGGCCCATTAAGGTATCTGTGACCAACAGATGCATATCTGTATTCCCAGTCGTGTGAAATCCATAGACTAGGGACTAATGAATTTATTTAAATTGACTGATTTCCTCACATGAACTGTAACTCAGTTAAATTGTTGCATGTAGCGTTTATATTTTTGTTCAGTGTAAAAAAGATTCCGCTAAAGTCTCCAGTCATCTAACATGATGTAGAATTGCATGAAATGCATTTATAAATGCTAAATTGCCTAACCCTATAAAATTGTCCCTATGTTCCATCAAGTGCCTCTACTCTACTGCTCTATCCCAGTACGCAAAAACAATGATATTGCATTCAATGCTTTATTATAAGGTTTTTTATTTTATTTTTGTGTTCCGGTACCTCAGAGCCGCCCAGGTCACCCCCCTCTTGGGCTCACTTTTTGTTCCAGCACATCCCAATTTAAAATTATGCACTGCCTGAGGGGGAAGAGGCGCTGTCGCGATTTGGACACCAAGGATCTTGAAGCTCTCGACCCGCTCCATGGCCGAGCAGCCTCACACAAGCCTAAGATCACCATGCCAAATGCCAAGCGTCGGCTGGAGTGGTGTAAAGCTCTCCACCATTGGACTCTGGAGCAGTGGAAACGTGTTGTCTGGAGTGATGAATCACGCTTCACCATCTGGCAGTCCGACGGACAAATCTGGGTTTGGCGGATGACAGGAGAACGCTACCTGCCCCAATGTATAGTGCCAACTGTAGATTTTGGTGGAGGAGGAATAATGGTCTGGGGCTGTTTTTCATGGTTTGGGCTAGGCCTATTAGTTCCAGTGAAGGGAAATCTTAACTCTACAGTATACAATGACATTCTACACGATTCTGTGCTTCCAACTTTGTGACAACAGTTTGGGGAAGGCCCTTTCCTGTTTCAGCAAGACAATTAAGAAAAAAGGGTTTGTTGAGATCGGTGTGGAAGAACTTGACTGGCCTGCACAGAGCCCTGACCTGAACCCCATCGAACACCTTTGGGATTAATTGGAACGCCGACTGTGAGCCAGGCCTAATCGCCCAACATCAGTTCCCGACCTCACTAATGCTCTCGTGGCTGAATGGAAGCAAGTCCCCACAGCAATGTTCCATCATCTAGTGGAAAGCCTTCCCAGAAGAGTGGAGGCTATTTATAATAGCAAAGGGGAAACCAACTCCATATTAATGCCCGTGATTTTGGAATGAGATGTTTGACGAGCAGGTGTCCACATACTTTTGGTCACGTAGTGCATGTGATTGTATACAAATGTAAGCAAGGTTTGAAATGATTATGTCTTAGTCAAATCTGTTTGGGTTTTTGCGGTCAATTTGCAGTCTACAATTTGTTCGTAATTATGTTCCGGCCCCGTGACTATCTGCTCAAAAAAATTTTTTTTCGGAATCTAGTTGACGATCCCTGGTATACGCTATCTTTCATTGATAAACATAATTTTAAAAGAGCTGAGGGTCCGTAGAGAACCTCTATGTAACAGCTGGAGACTGATACATTACAAGGCACCCTGAACCATTCTCTGAAGCTCTGCAGTACACTGTTGACCTATACTCGGTCAAGAGGGGGTTGAGGAAGCAAGTCGGCTGTTGGCAGTCCAAGCACGCCACATAGAGCCATCACATCAGGCCGTTTACTGAGCAAGGTATTTGATGGAACTGAGCAAAGGACAAAGCTAATGATCCAGTATTGAGTTGAGCCATTCTGATCTCCCAAGGACATTCAGGTGCCGATGACTGAAGTGCAAACACTGCCAAAGACATCATATGCGTACTGTACTCCAATCCTGAGGGCTTAACGGAAGGTCGTTATAAAGCTGAGTGATGCAGAGTAAGTCTGCGTCCCAAATGGCACCCTATTCCCTAGATAGTTCACTACTTTTGACCAGAGCCCTATGGGCAGTGGTCGAAGTAGTGATCTATATAGGGAATAGGGTGCCATTCGGGACGTAACCCTAAGACTTGTCTATCAATGTGAGAGAAACAAACTTCTAGGCTCTCTCTCCCCTGAGGCTCCATGTGATTGAACTGAACATTACAGACAGTCAGCTGTTCTCAGAAGCGTATTAGAAAAGGATGATAAGATACAGATGAGCATCAATTACATCCAGCAGAAAGTAGCAGACATTCAAAGGACTGGGCAGCGACTGCCCTTTTGTTCCCATGGTGCTCGATGGAAGCACATATTATGGAACATATTATACACCTTTCAGATAATTTTCTGTGGCAACCCATTAACGCCCTGTTCAGAGTGTAAATCGGTCCAGGTTTACACCCAACCCCACCCCCCCGCGAGCTGCCCTTCAAATGAACACAAAGCCTTGCCATGAAAGATAATTATAATGTGATCATAAAGACATTTAATGATGTATCTTGAGCCAAAAATGCCATCGAGGAGGAACATGGATTTGATTACTATAATTTGCCTCTGCTCAGACAGAGAATGGTGTTAAATCAAGAATCAGCCCTTATCATGGTCAAGGCTGAATATTTTAGGTGGGAGAGTGTTGTTCTCTCTTGGGTGTCATGAGTTAGCGCGTCATCGTACTTTCCAAATGGGATGGATAAAGCCTACAGCTATGACAGCTGTTATGGACTACAGATGAGCCATGTTCAGTAATCCCAGCCAGCATATAACATTCTGAGAACCATATGTTTCTTAGAGTTTATGGTTATTTTGCATACAACCTTCCCACGACTTTCTGGGAATGGTGCAGGATAGTTGCTTAGCTTTGGAAATTTCTCAGCACATTTAAGGAACGTTATTTTCTTGGTATTTCATTACTTTAACAGAACGTTTCCTACAAATTCAATCATGGTTACATTTAATTTCAATTTTGGTAATGTTCTAGGAACGTTCTCCAACTGGTTTGAATTGGGAATGTTCTCAAATAGTTCAGAGAACCTTAAAAAACAACGATCTTCTGTGGGAATTTCAGTACTTCAGCATAACGTATCCTACAGGTTTCCTCATAGTTTTATTTAAAGTCACGTTCTCAAATTGTTCTGAGAACATTAAGAAAACTTTCCATAAAAACCTCAAGAAAACTTTAACGTTCAGAGAATGTTCTAAGAATGTTATTTAAAAACATATGCATTCCGTTCTCAGCATCAACAAAACTCTCTCTATTCTCTATCTTGTTAAGTG